TCACAATGAAACAAAATACCAGCAACAATCAAAAAATCAAAAAAATGAATTATCAACTCGAGATGAAAATTATTAACAAGAAATGAAGATTCATGTTTCTATTTTTAGATTTCATTTCTTGTTAATAATTTTTCATTTTCATCTCGTGTTATTAGTTCAATTTTTTATTTTTTGATTGCTGCTTGTAATCAATTTCATTGTAATTTGAGTTTTATTGCTTGGTGTAATTGTTATTTTTCAGCTGATCTTTTTAATTTTTTATAGATTCTTTCAGCGATTCAAAATCTATTTATATCATATTAGATAATGGAAGTCCGAACCAATGAAATGCAAGTATTATAAATTTCATTTTTGCAATTTATATCCAGTTGACTTAGACAATCAGCGATTGGAAATGAGAGATGAACTCATAGAACCATTCTACTCAATTAAATTCAATATCAGGACTCAATTTTCCGGTAGTTATACACTCACATTCAATGGATAAATAAATCCAGGTCATTCAAATCGAGAATATAAAATGCGGCCAGCCCATACTCAATTACTAATTCTTTTATATTCACATTGGACACAAAAATAATATATCATGAATGATGTCCTCAGAATCGATTCAACATAAAAATAACGTTTTGATATAGAAAAGACCCATGAAAAATAATGATTGTTTGTATTGAATGAGTCTCTTTTAAATTATTCTTATTTTGAGCTGATATGACCATCACTCGAGTGGTGGTTATAGAACAGAATTTCACAATAAATCTCTTATACTGAGATATTAGTATTACTCGACCCTTGAAAATCACGGTTGATATTTAAAGTAAAAGGAGACAGCAAAAAAATTGTTTTGTTTGGTTTCCGAGTTTTGCCGTGGTCTTCTTTGGCTACAATCTACAAACTCCAGTTTCAGTTCTAGTTGATACGCCGAGAAAAGTATTTTAACCACGCCACTGAAGATGACTGCCACAATCGCAGTTGAAACGTTTGGAGATTGTAACCAAAGACCACGACAAAACTAGAAAGCCAACCAGACAAAATTGTCGATCCTTATCATTGAACAAACCTTCTAGAAGTTTATTGTACTTTCAAATGAGGATTGCATATAGTGAAACATAAAATAAATTATCAATAATCTTTTTTTTCAGAAAAATGTGTTTTTGTTATTTCATCTTTTTCAAATGAACCATTTTACTTCTACAATAATTACTTCAACATCATATATTCTGTCGAAGTTATATGTGATCTATGATAATATTTGATAATACAAATCATATTCAGTTGATAACAAAGACCAATATATTTCAGGCTGAAATATTGTAGTTGAATGTATCTTTTCAATGTCATTATCCACATAAGATTCAAAAGAAAGAAGAGTTAATAAAATTTCATGACCATTACAGTTATTGGCTTCAATGACAATTTCATTTAGTCTAGTGGTGTCTTCATTAGGTTCTATATTTGTCTCTTTAAATTTTCTGTTATTGCTCAAATCCACCCCAATGAATATTTCTTTCAGTAAGTACATAATTTCTCACATGAAATATCTAACAGGTCTCCGTTTTGTAAATTCATATTTTCTGTTTTTTTCAATGGCACCCAAGATATAAGATTTTTCTAGTTTATTTCTTATTCCCTCAACATCTTCTCCTGTTCATGAAATAACATTTAGATCAGGGAATCTCAGTTTCTCCAACGTCAAAATCCAACAAGTTAATGTTTCTTGTTATTTCTAGTTGAACCAGAAACATAAATATAATTTTTATCCTATAGTATAATATTTCATATACTTTCGTGAAGAGGAAAAATAGCAAAGACTTTTCAGTTTTATAGTTCTCATTAACGTTTCACAATTTCTTCAAAATAACTGAAGCTGATGATTTATTTGAATGTGTAAAAGATATTTTCTGGGGATGAGGCAACAAAAGAAGAGTTCTGTTTGTTTTCAAAGCAGATACTCCAGAATTGGCTAGTAAAGTGCGTTCATTTTTTTAAATAATTTTTAAGAACCCCCTTTAGAGGACTTCTATAGAATATAAATAAGTTTTTAGGGCACTACTCCGTACTAATAAGCCGTATCGAAGATTGCTCAAGGAAAAAATAAAGTATTTTCCTTTGTTTTATTGGTAGTAAGGATGCCATGAAGAATGAATCTCAACTTTTAGCATAGAGATTGAATATGAATGTTCCACTCGAGATGTATATCTATGTGTACCCACAAATATTTTGAAGGTGTTGCTGATTTGATAATGAACTGTTCTGTTGGAATGTTAACATGAATTGTATCGAAGTTAGGGAAAGTTGTCCTATTACAGCAAAATGGTAGGAAATGTGTTTTATCACATTGATTGTGAGTTATTTATGATTCAGTTATTATTATTTATGAGTTATTATATGAAAGTCTGATGCAACTGTATCCCTAAGCTCGCCCCACGAATTACCTTTGTAAAATATGACTGTAACATCAGCGAAACCCAGAAAATCTCCCCTAACCTTCACTGAAAACATTCTATTCAAGTAAATATTGAAAATGAGTGGTTCCAAAATTGTTCTCTGTGGTACTCCGTAATCAATAGTGCTGAGACTGATGTAATTGTTGTCCATCTTCACGGATTGGCATCTGTGTTGAAGATAGGATTACAATAATTTCAAACTACTATTTCTGATTCCGATTTCTGACTCCTATGTCTTGTAAGATTTCAATCAGGACTTGATGAACTGATTGAGAGAAAATGAGTGCAGATAGCCAGATTTTGTTAAATGTTGACTTTTTTTGTTGCACTCAATTATTATCGTTCCAGTTCCTCATCGACTTTGAAAATGTCCAGTGTAGTTGAAGACGATACGTCTGGAAATAAAACTAGAAGACCACGGTCAACAAAACTCGTAAAATCGCTTTGATGCAGGTTCATCTCGCAAAAATGGTAACTAGTCATTCGAAACAGAAATTTTCAAATCGAGATTTGGGAACAGGTTGATATTTTTGGCTAATTTTTGGGGTAGCTAGTTAAAGTTGCCTTCAATGTATTTAAATACTCCGCTGAATCATCAAAATTGAGTATGATATGATATCTCAAATATAATAATTTTCCTCTCTTTCCATGAAGGTTACCGTTAGGTAATAATGTTTTCTGTGAATTGAAAATACAGGGTGATATTTCTGTAACTCTGGAAAGTTATCCGTCAAACACAGAAGTATGACTGAAATATCAAAATGTACTTCAAATTCTCTGATATTTTTTTGTAAATCAGCTAGATAATATTTTTGAAGAACTCTGCTGATAAAATGCTGAAAGGGAAAAATTCGAAAACAACGGTAAAGCAATTATACAAAGAGCAATTAATTTCACAATTCCACATACACCTTCTGACTTGTTGGTATGATTAACTTACCTTCATTGAAAAAAATTAATAGAAATTGGTTGAAATGAAATGCTGTGAAAATCGTAAAAAAATCGATAGAAAATATTTTGGTCTTCAATGATATTCTGTTCCAGTAACGGATCAGGTAAGTATAAATGCCTGAGTTGTAGAAAGATTACTAGGTGTCAAACAAAACACATGGACTCGTTTAAAACAAAATTGTTGAATTTTTTTTTGATACATCAACCCATGATTTTTTATACCAACTGCATAATTACCTATAAAATTTTTCAATTTGGTTGGAGATTTAAAGGGATACTTTGAAAAAATTTATTACCGGTCAATTGGGGTGACATTGCCCAATGTTTAAATTTAAGTTGATAATTTTCATATAACACATTTTTTGATATTCTACATAGAATTTGTACCTTTGGATGGTTGGGTGTAGATGTGATTTATGTAGTTATTTCATTTTTATATCATTCCCCCTCTTGAATAAAAAATAAAATATGGGCGGGCAAAGTCACCTCGTGAAGTGTGGTCACTTTGCCCAACAGATGTTTTCTTTGTATAACAAAGCTATAAATAAAAGATGGGCAAAGCCACCTCCTCAGGGTGTTACAAGAGCCACAGTGAAGCCACAAAAATTGCTCGAAAAATCGAAAATAACTATTACAGTTGCCAGAACTGTCGACAGAAATATTATGAACGACATAAAAGTTTTTAAAATTTTGTGGACAAAATAAGTCGTATTTTTTGTTGATTTCAATGCTTTCTCTATCTGGAGGATGAGAAAGTAAAAAAATTGAAATTACAATGTAACTAAATGAAAGGTGGGCAAAGTGACCCCAATTTTCGTGGAAAACATGTGGTGACATTGCCCACTCGAATAACAATCAACAGGTTGGGCGCAGGAACGAAATTGCAAGTGGATTAAATTCTGCATTACATTTACTAATGATAATGATGAGTGATGAAACTCACCTGGTTTTCGTAGAAGTTGTGTATATGTAATTTTGAAGAGCTCAAATTTTCATAGATGACACACGTTACAAATAAAACAGTTAAATTTTGCCCTAGCACTACAATCTATAGAATATCCCGTTGTCATTGTGGAGGTATGTTTCATTGACTGCAGCGCCTCAAACGACTTTTAAGCTATTTACTATGAAGGCGCGAAACTGCTTTCTCAAAACTAGACAAAGCTACCCCAGAAGACAAAGTCACCCCAATTGACGATATTTGAATGATTGTTCAAAATTGTTTCATCACTTTGTCCACCGAAAAATAAATAAATTTTGTTTGCATCCAACCTTTTGGTGGTTCATAATGATTTTTCTTGCAATTAAAGGCTGAATTTTCAGTTCCCTTCATCCAGATTTTACTACCACTTGTAGAGAAACTGTTTTTTTTGAAGAAAATGTTATTTTTTATAAAATCAGCATAATTTTTTCCCAACCGTTGTAACTTAGAGTATTTAAAAGTTCTGATTCTACTCTGAAGAATTATGTGGGATTCGATTAGTGGTGATTTTTCCTTGAAGATCATACCAAAAACACTAATAATTTATGAAATGAAACGTCGCTCTTGTTTTTAAAAATGTCTCACGGAGTAATTGTTTTTATTCGTTCTTTTTGTTTCAGTTGAGAAAAATCCACATCAGAAATGGAAGCTTACCAATGAAACCTATAAATCTGTGCTTGTATGAATGTCGCATGCTCGAAAAAATTTCATGTATTTGACTTCGTATAAATTCGTATACAAATATATACAGGGTCACTTATAAATCGTAATTCTACCCTGTGCAGCTATTTATACTGAGTCAGTGACAATCATCAATTGTTCTCAATATCTCGTGATATTCAGGAATAATCTTATGTTAGAAGTAAGAAATTGTGCTGCATTTTTTCGTGCATGTTTTTGGAATCGAAATTAATCTTCAGAGAATTATGTGTTGAGTTTCATATTCGATTCAAGGCTCACCAGCACCACTTCACAGTATTCTGAAAAACAGAAAACTCCTTGGATCGCGTATTGAACAACTAAAAATAGGATGATATTGATGATACAAACGAGTAACTTATACGAATGCAATGGGAAAAATTTTGAATTCAATAGAAACTAACTTTATTTAATTAATGATAGTTGTCATCCCAAGTTTTCATTTGAAGATTGAACTGAAACAGTTATCAAAATATATTTTCAAAACAAGTTTTGAATATCAAAGTTTTTATTTTCCTTAAATTGGTCACTTATATACAGGGTATCGTCGGGGCGTATCAAAGCTATGTTTTTTGAATGAAAAGATATGAATTTTACATCCCATTCGGATTCCTCCTAAGAATAAACTTTAAATAATATAAAGTGCTCTTCAAATCATCCAAGAAGTTCATAAAAATATCAGAAATAATGTTGGAAGTACATCTTATACATTTGTTTGTATGTGTAACAACAAATCATATTGATATTACTTGGCGAGTCAAAAGTATATCTCTATGATACACAGTTCAAGTACTTTCTGAAATGATTCACGTAGAATTACTCCAAAAAACGTTTTGTATTTCAAATGATACTATCATTAATATCAATTCCAGTGTTCCATTGTTATCAAATTGAAATTCGATAAGTTCCCAATGCTATTCGTCTGAATAAAATGAAAGCCAAAGTGTAAATATAATTACTTTTGTTAGAAAATGTAAATTTTATATTGATGAGTTGAAATCTCATACCTTAACCTACAACTGTAGCTTGAGACTGTACATTTTTTAGGGTATAACAATGCGATGTTATTTGAAATCCCAATACACAATGGCATATTATTGTTGACAAACAGAAGGTAAGACACTTGAAATCTTTAGACCACTGTAAAATAACCTATGATATTTCAATTTGTATATCCTTTATATACACATAGTCCACGCGAAAACAATTCTCAAAGCATTTTAGAGGTTCGTGGAATGTTTCCAGATTTGCTCGTGAATCTCAACTGAAAATCTCACCTCAACTATACATTGATGAAAGTGTCGTGTATACGAGTCCCTAAATTAGGTGAGTTGATTTTGTTTTTGCGTGTAACCGGTATAGCGTTCAAATGACAAAAAAGTGTTTTCTATGGTAATGCTAATGTACATATCTGTCCAACACGCTTATAGTCAATTTGTCGAAACAATAACTATTAACAAATTTTCGCTAGCTCATGAACTTGAAATACTTCTCATAATTTTCAAAAATCCCGAAGTCGCATCTCCTTTTTCGATTCGATATTTCTCAGCATGAACAATTATATGCAATGAACCATCATCAGTGGAATTTCTCCTTTGAAATTTTCACTTATAAGGTCACTTTATATAGCCCGGAATATAGTGGTAATAAAATTTGAAGGTGTGAGTAAAAAGAAAATTTATTTTGCCGCATATCAACCTCCATATTATTTTCAAACCTTTCACAATTTGAGCAGGGAATTACATAAGAAACATTATTAATGACGATCTTGAATTCTGAATGAATTTCTTGATATTTACAGGAAATATTCACTACTGAAATGTCCAATAAAAAATTTAAGTTTATCAGGAAAAATTATATTTTCTGTGATAAATGAATTTATGGAAGTTGGTATCTTCCAGGTTGGTAATGAATCGGCATAAGATGAATGTCTTGATCATATAATGAGTTAATATCTACTACTCATGATGTTACGTGCTTCATTGTTATGATGAAAGCTCAAACATGTTAGATTGCTTTCCAAAACTCATATAATCACTCGTGAATATCCATATAATTCATTTTTCACATCACATGATTGAACTAATGAATATTCACTGGGAATTGAAATCTTGTGATATGAATATTGCTCCATAAATTCCCCAAATTGACTAACAGAAGCTCAATTTTTCGATCACCTTCATACTCGTAATATTGGTTCTTTCGTAGTGCAACTGAAAGAGTAACTATTCAAATACTCAGCATGTAGCCCAGAAAAAGTGATATAAAAATTTAAAGTGTGAGTAAAAAGAAAATGTATTTTGCTTCATATCAACCTCCATATTATTTTCAAACCTTTCACAATTTGGGCAGGAAATTACGTAAGAAACGTTATTGATGACGATCATGAAATAAGGAAAAGCTGCGAAATGAACAATTATATGAAAACATTGGCAAATCCAACATTTAGACACCGCATAAAAATATCAACTGTATTGAAAATATGCATTTGCTGAACAAAACTTGTGTCTGTTACTTTTTTTTTCAGTATGACATCTACAATTTCTCAGCTACCCCTTAAGAGGGTTTCGAAATTCTCAAATTGTTGTAGGATTCATTGGTTCCTAGGTGCCTGAGCAAATTCCTCTAGGAAATGTTCCCATTTTCCATCTAATGAAAAATACAACCAAATGTGGTTATTCATTCAATGGATTGTATTGGGAAGGCATGAAAAAGTCCATGTATTTTTTTTGATTCTGCATTTGAACTGTCACACCAAAAAGGCATAATATGATTCAGAATTCAACACCTGAAGGTTTAGGTTTAGTACGTTAAACTTCGATTCATTCTGAATTTTGAAGCCTGTTTGAATTTACATTATACCATAATGATTTTGGAAAATATTGTTCACGAAAATTAGCACACATCAGTATCAGTTTGATGACATGGATGAAAACACTTTTGTCTAATTTCTACTAGTTATTTTATTTTTACGACCGGTTTCGAGTTTTATCCAATTATCAAGTTGCGCTGAAAACTAGTTAGTTTTTATACTAACCAACTAGTTTAATACTAACTAACTAGTTAGTTTTTATACTTGTTAATGAAATGAATGAAAACACTTTTGTCTAATTTCCACTAGTTGTTTTATTTTCACGACCGGTTTCGGTTTTACGACCGGTTTCGGTTTTACAACCGGTTTCGGTTTTACGACCGAAACCGACTGTCTTAAAACCAAAACCGGTTGTGAAAAATGAAATAACTAGTGAAAAATAGACAAAAGTATTTTCAATCATTTCATTAAAATGATCATGAATTTCTATCGGATATCTCTGATTCCTCAAATATTCAATCAGTAATCAGAATCGTTAATGTCCTCGTTGAATGAGCAATTTGAGGTCGTTACGAGAGAGCATACTTTGTTTCTAATTATGATTCGAAAAATCAGGAAAATCATATTTTCCCCATAAAAATACTCAGTTCACTCATTTCGACTCCTGAACTCTCATCTGTTTCGATTGAAATATTTTTTTAATATTTAAAACATGGAAACATGACACTGGAAATCTTTTTTCATGCCAGATTCAGGAATGAAGTAATCAAATCATATTTGATCCTTTTCAACAGTTCCACTTAGGTATGCTATTTCAACAATTTCTGGCATCAAGTTGAATGCTTCGGTTTCGTTTACGGCTTCAATTAGCAAATATACTCCATCTCAACATTTTTTTGCTGTCTTTGAATGACTTTACTGAACTCTTGTAGTTCATGATATCTTGAAAAACGATGGAAACCTATCGATTTCTGTTGCTCGACATTTTAAAGAACGGCTTTGTCGATAATTATGCCTTGAAAATCATTGTCTAAAAACCTAATAATCATTCATCATAGATGAGTTCCATCTTCATAAAAAGACTTAATTCCTTCCAATAATCTGGAATTGATTTCAGTCCTTCTGTTGCCATGGCGGAGCACACGATTCTATAATTAGTAGGATCGATATGAACTAGCTCTCGTTATCAAAGTAGTATATATATATTCAATATAATATTATTCAATCAATAATAGCCATGAATAAAAATCATATTGGAGAATTATTCATTCACAACAATCATATTGGAGAATTATACATTCACAAAACTGAAGTGAATATCATTATGTTACATTCATGTCTGGAAAATTACATATAATTATTGGAAAAGTCATTATTCCATTCGTAATAAATCGGATAGTTCCACCAAGGTCACAAAAATATATGTCCAGCTAGTTTTTCAAGTTTTACGTTCAATTGAACAATTATCATACATTTTATTTGTTTGTAGTATATTGAAGAGCCTTTTGAATTCAGATGAACGTTTACAACAAATTCAATACGAAACAGTCTTTGAAAAACTGCAGTCAGTTGTATCAGTGCAACTTTTTAAGATAAAAAATGTCAGCTACCTGAATCTTTCCCCAACTATAAGAATATTTGATGAAATTTCAAAAACACATATGATATGTAATATACAAAAAGTTAACACAGTCATCAATCGAAGACTGCCTAGCCGACACTGACGATGCCCAATGGGCTCAAACAGCGGGTTGAAGGTGAAAATTTGCCACTTCAGAGAGTGTTAAATAGTGGGATGAATTCGATTAAAAATATTTTTAGCACTTTCAATTTTACAGAAAATTGCCTATACTTTAGAATGGAACCCCGAGTACATTCATACATTTTTGGATTCATCAGTTAACTGTACATATTAATTCGGAAAAATATTGGAGAGTATTGAAAAAAATATCTATCGCACTATGATAACTGAAAAATATTTGATTTGCTTCCATGATTATCAGTAATAACACTCTTGTCATGTTATTTGAATAAACAACATTATCACTAGGAAGAACAAGATAGCGGCAAGTCTGAATCAGTTAACACACGGTATATCCTTCTTGGAAGCTTCTGTTTTAACCAATTTTCCACTTGGTGTATTCTTACAGAATCTCGATTTTACATCTAAACTACATCCATCCAACAAACAAAGTAACCCAAGCAAAGACAAATGCGTGATCAGAACATGATCACCACACACATTTGCATCTATTGGGTGGAATAAACAAGCGTCTTTACGTTGACCAATCAGATTTAACTGCAATCGGCTGGCAGAATTCATTGTTACAGTGTAGGAGTTGTAAGTTAGGTTTCAACATAAACGGTACTTTAAAGTTTGAAATTTTTGAAATGTTAACTACTGAAACGGTTGAAGATTCATTTCTATTTTGTTGACGAATACATGCAACAATCAAACAGCATAGTCATTCACCTCAGAATTTTGACGAATCTATCGTTGATTAAGTTGTATCAAGAACATTTTTCAGTAGATCTTTTATACCATACGTGAATGAACAGTTCTTCACACATCAAGTGGAAAACTGTGTATTCGAAATTTCAGTGTTTCGTCATTTATATAGCCATGAATATTGACAAGAAATGTGTACGTTTTTTATAAGGAATGTTATTTTTATTGAAAAATTTGTTGAACAACTCGAAAGCTACCTAACTCAATTGAAGCGATAACTATTGAAGTAAACAATAAAAATTCAATAACCTGCTCAAACAGCGTGAATTGCATTTTTGAGTTTTGACATTTATCTAAGCAATTGACTATCGAAAAAAGTTATTTGGAATTACCTGCAATAATAAACCTCATGTGTAACGTAATAGATGTAATCAAAATTTTTATTCATATGTTATAAATGTATTAATTATATCACCAAGTTTCAATGATTTTGAGCAACTTCAAAAATCAAATTTTTGAATTTGCTTGTTCTGAAAATTAATTATAAATCAAATTATAATAGATAAAAGATATTTCGAAAATTCATCTCGAAAAAATTTTATTCATGGAATGAAAACGAAAGGTTTCCACAATATATCTAACTCATTACTTTTCTAAAAATTTAATTTTTTGCATTAATAATAATTAGTGAAATACTGAATTCCGATACAACTATTCTACATGAGTTCTATATTTACATAGTGTTGCTCTCATGATATTTTTTGTTCTAAATTATTTATTTATTATAGTATGCTCAATTTTATATGAGTATCTTGCACCTCAGCGGATGAAACAGGTACACAAACATATGTAAAAAATGAAGTTTTTGATAAATAGCTTTATTCATAGCTAACATAATCGATCTACGTAAATTCTATATATATTTCAAAGTCAATTCAATTTCAAACTTCATGAAAACTGTGAATTCATACTTCATTTGAAAAAAGTTTATTTTCATATGACTAGGCAGGATTTATTTTCCATCAACCAGATTTGTGTGACTTAATGACGAAGCAGGGATGGTATTCAGAATATTCTTCAAAATTTTAATATTTGAAAAAAATGTTGTGGAGAAAAATGTGCAGTACCATGAATTGAAGTGGGAAATTATGAAAATCATAAAAAATTTGCCAAGCCTTTTTGCGATAAGCACAAATATTTTCTTCAATATGATTAAAATTATAATTTAATCTATATACCCCCAAGTTTACATTGCCATACAATGAACAGACTGAACGCATATTTACTGTGCTAAAATTGTAATTAATCGACTCCAAAAGAAAGAAAATTGGTAAAACTTAAAATAAATTCCGTAGAACTTTTTGTTCGTATTTGTTCGTATTTGTTTGTTTTGACTGAAACAATTTGAATTCATTAGACGTAAAGCTCGTGATGGTAAACTGCAAGACTTTTTTATTAATGATTCATATTTGAAAAAGATGTTTCATCAATAAATTCTCGAAATTAGACTCTAGAACACCTGGTGACCAGTTGCTTTGACGTGATTTCCTGATTACGTTTATTTCAAATTGAAGTCCAACGCTTATTTATATAATGATCGGTCATCATTCATAACATTTTCAACCTTAAACTCTTGTAACCACAATTCATGCGACGTGAATTTCATGCTTTTTTTGTATTATGTGATTTTCTAACAATGGTCAACGTTTTCAATACATGAATAACCGACTTAAGGAAAAGACATCGACCCTTGTGGAGCTTAACTATCAACTCGTATTAAAATATGTGCGAAGAAAAATTCTATTTCCTTCAGAAATTCTTGAACTATCTTTCCTTTCTGTGAATTTTTTGGTCGCCCTATATTACTCTTGAGCAGATTTGCTGTTGATCTAGATTTATTTCTTCTTCAGATTGTGAAAGGTTAAAATTCAATAAAACAACATGTATAATAAGCAACATAGGTACGAAAACAAACGAAAATAAGGACTAACCACATGAAACTCATACAACCATAGACACATTAAAAATGAATACGCTATCAAGGGGGACAACTGATTAGAATTGGAAGTTTTTGTTTATCATTTTTTAAAAACGTTCAATTCTAATCAGTTGTCTCGTTTGATGACGTATTCATTTTGAATATGTATGTGGTTGTATGAATTTCATGTAGTTAGTCCTTATTTTCGTTTGTTTTTCAAACAAGAATAGAGTAATGTTTGATAAGTCTACCTGTTTGTTTTTTTTACAAAATATGAGATCAGTAAATACTATAATCATTTGCAATATGTGTTGGCATGTATACTGTTTCCTTATGAAATTATTTAATTATAGATCCCTGACGATGGATTTAAAAAGTCCGAAACGTTGTCAAAAACTTCTACGAAATAATTTTTGATATCTTTCCCAACTTCTAACTCTGTTTACGCGTTACGAGTCACTTTGACGCCGAGTTCAGATCACGGGTTGCTTCGGGCGCCATATTTTGGCGTGGTGTGCTCCAAGTTCTCCGGGCAGCGTCAGTGAAGAAGGTAATACATCAGGGTCACTATGGTATTGACTTGATTAACTGTAGCCAGTACGGCAGGCTTTAATTGCCGTCCTGGTTTCGAATCCTCGGAACAGACTGTTTTTTGTCTACCGGTTTGTCTTTATTTACTGGAGCTCGGACTATAACGGAGCTGGAACTGGAACTGCCTTGGTGGAAAGTCGTCCTCATTTCGATCAGGTTAGAGCCTGGCTCCCTTACCCTTTCAACTGATAAATGCTTTGGTACGAAATCCATCTTCATTTCATTCAGGTTTGGAGACCAGCTCCCCTACCCTTTTGGCTGATCATTGGCCTTGAGAGGGACCAATGGGTACATGACTGATGGGT